AAGTATGATCTATTTTTTGGTGAAGTTTTTGTTCAGAAATTATCATCTTGTTTTGTAGACTCAAATTCCAGTACGAAAACGACGCCTGGTCGTTGCGGACGCTGCACTACGACTCTACGAGGAAGAAAAAGTCCTCCCCGATCTCCGCCGTCACGCTGATGGTCGCCTGCTTCGGCTACTCGGGCGTCGCCTCCTTTGCCGACATTCGCCTCACCAGCGCCAGTGGTAAGTGATGCTTTTTAAAGTGCTTCTCAACACAAACTTATCAAACTTTTCAACTACAAAACCATCATCAGTGGGCATCGATCCACTGTACTCCCGGCACGAAGTGGGCGCCTGGTGCGACTATCTCCTCAAACCACTTCCTCCACCATCTCAACCTTCTGAAATACTCAATCAACCTCCCCCTCAAATCAACCTCCTCCCACACGAGCTACTCCCTCTTCCGAAAACTACCAACAAACAACAGCAGCAATCATCATTCTCATCCTCTCACCACCTCGTCACTTTCGTCTCTCAGCTCTCCATAGACCGCCTGCCGATCCTGGAGCGCTCGCTGCAGACCTGGACCGGGCCCGTCTCGCTGGCCATTTACATTCCACTGAAGGGCTCCTCCACCCAGGGAGATCTCAGGGATCAAGAATCCGCCTCCTCAATCCTCGACTGGCAGCGCCTCTACATCAACAAGAAGATCGCCGCCCTGGGAGGGAATATCAGCCTAGGAGAGAGCACAGTGGCGCTGGTGCCCGGAACTGAAGGGGCGGTGTACCCGATCAACGCGCTTCGAAATTTGGCCATGTCCGCCGTTCGCACCCGCTTCGCCTTTCTCGTCGACGCCGACTTTCAGCCCTCGCCAGGGCTGGAGGCCCACTTTGCCGCCTACCTTCAGCGAAAGGAATTGGGAAAGAAGGTTGGAAAAGAGGAAGAGGTGGAGAAGGTCGCCTACGTCGTCCCCGCCTTTGAGTACCTGGAGACGCCCAATGTAAGTGTGTGTCCGAAGCAAAAAACCCCTTATCAACCCCTTTCAAAACCTTATCTTTTTCTTCCCCTAGCGAGACGACCCCATCATCAAGAGCAAGGACGAACTGATTCAGCTAGTCCACCGCGAGGAGCCCATCGTGCAGCCTTTTCGTGAGTTTTTAGAGTTGTCAACAAAAGCACTCCAATCATCATTCATTTTCATCTTTTCCCCCGCCAGGCTTCTTCGAATCAAACGAAGCCCACTGCCTGACCAACTACTGGAAGTGGTACTACGCCTCGGAGCCGTACACCCTGGCCACCCAATTTCACGACAAGTACGAGCCGTACGTCATTGTCGAGTAAGTGTTTAAAGTGGTCTTGAATTTGTAGTCTTCAACTTTTCTCTTTGCAGAAAAACCGCCCACCTTCCACCGCCGTACGCTGAGCTGCTGGTCAACTACGGCATGAACAAGGTGATGCACGCCAGCGAGCTCTTCGCCGCCGGCTACGCCTTCACCGTCCTGGACGCAGTCTGGGCGATACACACCCCGCACCGGGCCACCGCCTACTACGCCGACTTTCTCACGAACCTCGAGGCGAGGCTGAGGAACCGGGCGGCGAGGTTTCACGTGCTGGCCGACATTTTGGAGCGGTACCGGGTGCCGCTGGCGGAGTGTGAACGCCTTCCGAGGTGAAGACACACTGGTTGGAGAACATGTTGAATTGCCGTTGTAATTGTTGAACGAGTGTTGAAGAAAAGGAGGCCCTTGGATCGGAGTTTGTACAGTAGGCGGTTGTAAAAGAGTTTAGCTCTCTTTTGTTGAAGGTTAAAAAAAGGGATAATATAAAAGAGAAATGTGCTCAAGCGTTTGCGACGCACGGTTTGGAATTCTCAAGGTATTCGCTGTTTGCTGTGTGGGGGGGATTGGGGTGATGAAGTTGTGTGGCTGCTGCTGTTTATGTGGCCGGCAGCTTCGGCAGGCCAAACTCGTCGACGAGTTGGCCGTCCTGCAACAAAGAAAAGAAAAGAGAGATTTATAAATGAACACATTACTAGACAACAAAATGATCTTACGGTGGTGATGACGCTGTCCGCGCCGGGCTCCTTCGTGGGCACCTTTGGCGCGCTGACCTCCTCCAGGTAGGAGGTGTCGGTGTCGAGGGCAAAGTCGTCGGTGAGGGCTTCCAGTTCTAAATGAAGAAAAGGAGGTGAGTAGTAAATAAAAATCATTGAAAAGGTTTTCCCTCAAATATCACTTACCCGCCTCCAGCTCGTCCTCGTCGACGTCGGGCACGCCGTAGGTCCGCCCCAGCACCTCCTGCACCTCATTCGCCTGCTCCATCATGTCGGAGAGGTCGTCCTGGAGATCCTCAATCTGGTCAATGTTCACCTTGCCGTACTCGCGCTTCATCTCCTTCACGCCCAGCTTCATTGCCGACACCGTCGTCTGGGTGTCCTTGAGCATTTGCGTGCTGAAGTTGGTCTGCTCCATGTTGAAGGACTGCTGCTGGAGGTTGTTGCGCTGGTTTTCGTACATCTTTCGCTGCTTGAGAATGTTCAGCGCCTTCGCCTTGATGGCGTTCTAAATGGGAAAAAGTTTGTTGTTAGAAGTTTTGGTTGGTAAACAACGATTTTGCAGCCTCTACCTTGGCCGGCCCTTCTCGCATCTTCTTCATCTGGTCCTTGTACTTGACCAGGTCGGCGTCCAGGCGGGCGACCTTCTTATCAATTGAGTCTGCTCGGCTGTCGACCTAATGGAAACGGGTGAAAAGATGATCATTAACAAAATAGAAACAACAAACAAATCCCCCTTACATTGGCGATGCAATCCGTCAGATTGGGCGGCGGAACCTTGTCCTTGGGTTTGCCAAACAGGCGGTTCATCTTTGCAGTTTGTTTGTTGTTGGACCTTGGATTACCAGAAAATCAAGCAAATGATGATGATACGCTTTCTGCTCCGTCTGAGGCTGACTAATGCTCGCCCGTCTCTCGCCTCCAAAGCAACAACTCTCGATGTTGGTGGGCAGTAGACGATAACACAGTGGTGGCTTTGGCAACCTCTTCTGACGTAGTAACACAGCAGTCTGATTCACTGATCACTGCAATACCACCAACTCCTTTGTAGTACAAAAGCAAAAAAAAAGTTGGCTTCTCTTTGTGTTTACAAATTCGACTCAGCAGTTGTACAGCAGCGGGCCGCTCACAGAGGACGTGATCGGCGTTCTTCTGTGTTTCGATGTTTTAGGTGTTCGTTTTTTTGGTGACTCGAATGTCACGAATGAGAAAAATAGAAGTGAAAACAACAGAAAACAGTGTTTCTAACACTTCAAATTTTTTTGTGTTTTTAGAGGTTACCATCTTTATTCACCACAACTCTCTGAACAGAAAAGTCCCCATTTTTCACTTCTAAACAAGCTTGGCGTCTTTGGCGAGTTTGTAGAAGCGAGATTGGGGATTGGCTAGCAAAACCGATGGTGACTCAAACTCGAGCACTTGCCCCTCTTCGAGGACCACCACTCGGTCGCAGCCAAAGCCATTTTCATTGTTGTTGTCACCGAGAACGGTGCTCAGGCGGTGAGCAATGGTGAGGACGGTGGCGCCGGCAAAAGCGCTTCTGATCGTTTTCTGAATGAGCGCCTCCGTCTGCAGGTCAATGGCTGAACCAGGAGAACAAGTGAAAAAAATCGTCACAATAAGTACAAAAGAAGTGCCAGTNTCTGAATGAGCGCCTCCGTCTGCAGGTCAATGGCTGAACCAGGAGAACAAGTGAAAAAAATCGTCACAATAAGTACAAAAGAAGTGCCAGTCAACATCCCATCACATTACCTGCAGTCGCCTCATCAAGAACGACAATCTGTGAACGGCGAAGAAGTGCCCGACCGAGGCAGAGAAGTGCACGCTGACCAACTGAGAGGTTACTGCCCCCTTCGGCCACCGGAAAGTCTAGACCGGTGCCTTCGGTGTTGTTGGCACTTTTTCCAGCTACAAACTCCAGCAAATGACACTGGGCCAGAGCCTCCATCAGCCGCTCGTCACTGTACACCCCAAAGGGATCGAGGTTGGAGCGAATGGTGCCGGTGAAGAGAACGGGCTCTTGGGGGATGATTGACAGTCGCTTTCTCAGCTCCGGCAGACTGACGCTGGCAATGTCCACGTTGTCGATGGTGATGCGACCTTGGTCCGCCTCGAGGAGGCGAAAGAGACCCAGGGTGAGTGTTGATTTGCTAACGTGTTTGATAAAGTTAAAAAATGTACGACATTTTTTGAAAGTTTTTACTGTCCAGCACTCACCCACTTCCTGTCCTCCCCACAATGGCCACCTTTTCGCCGCCTTCAATGGTCAGATTGAGGCCGTCCAGTGCGCGCTGCTTCAGCTCAGGTCGATAGCGGACGGCGTAGTCGGTGAACTGAATGCGTCCTCGACTCGGCCAACCATCGGGAACAGCCACCGGAGATTGATTTCCAGTTTCATCATTTGTTTGCAGATTGCGGCAGCAGTCCTTCTCCTGCTCAAGTCGGCAATACTCCTCAATCCTCTCCACCGCCACCATGTTCGTCTCCAGCTCAATGCTGTTGCGGACAATCTCATTGAGAGAGCGAATCATGCCCAGCGAGTAGGAGAGAACCAGCCCGAGGAAGGCCGGCTCAATGAGGCCGTTTCCTTGCTCTCGAGCCATTAAACCGAGGAGCAGCACTGCCAGGACGAGGACGTTGCCGAGCAGCTCCAGCCGCAGACTGAGCCACCGGGTGACGATGAAGGAGGCGTAGTAGACGCGAGAGAGGGCGTCTGTTCTTGCGGCGGACTCTTCGGTGAATCGGCCAGTGCAAGAAAAAGCTCGAATGGTGCTCAGCCCGCCCAGCGTCTCGCCAAAGTGCGCAAAGATGGGCGACTTGAGCACCGATTGAAGGCGACTCAGCTGGCGAAAGGAGGCGGTGTAGAAGGTCTAGAGAAAAGGGTGTGAAAATGTGTTGAAAAAGAATAAGCATTTTAGTAGTACCTGAATCCGGTAGTAGAGATAGGAGGTGGGCAGAATGATCAGCACAAAGAAGGGAATGTGCAGACAGATGAGCAAGAGGTTGGAGCTCAGGCTGAGGAGATAGGTGAGCACGGTGCTGGTTTGTGAAATTAATTTGTAAGTTTATAAATTGATAATGGCACCTGAAATCGCTTACTCCATGTTGAAGCTCAGCTTAGAGTCGACGGCGTTGAGGTCCTTACTTAGGCGGTTGGTTATCCGGCCGAGGGGCGTCGTCTCAAAGAAGCGCATCGGCGAGTGCAGCACCGCCCGCAGCATCCGCCGGTGGAGCACCACCGAGCTGCGGACGTTGGTTTGGGCCAGGGAGAGTGCGCCCACGGAGATGCAGAGGACTGGAAGTTAAACAAATTGAAAATTATGTTTACAAAATCAGCACTCACCCTGAGCTACCGCCAAGAGACCGTACCCGATCAGGCGGTAGGTTTGTCTGGCAACCAGTTCATCTTTAGCGAGTGTTTCGCTTCTACCCGTTTTCTCACCAGCCACTTTTGCAGCTTCATTGGCCCACCTAGCCAGCCAAATGTCAGAGGCGACGGCACAAAATTCAGTGGCGATGAAGCCCACCACAAAGAGGGTGAAGAGAGGCCAGCCACAGGCTCGGAAGTAGGTCAGAGAGACGGCCCCAGAGACGCGTCCTGATTCGAGGTGCTCGGCGGTGATCAACTG